ATAAATTGGGATTAGAATTAGAATTAAAACCCAAGTTAATTCTATTCTTACTGACAAAATCAATATATTATTTTCAAGAACATGTTTCAGTGATAGGGATTCCTTGATTCTTTCTCTTTTATACCACTTTGAAATAGGCCATGATGGCTTTGCCAAATACCAAACTCTTGAAGAAAAAGAAAGTCATTCTATGTTGGCTAAAACTCCTTTCTAACATACTTAAACAAATAATATAGGACAGAAGTCTAAGCTAGTTCAATAAGACAAGAAAAAGAAATAAAATGTATACTCATGGGTAAGGAACAAATAAAACTATTCTTATTCACAGAAAACAAAATTGTTTATGTAAAAAATCCTAAGAAATTGATCAAAAATTTCCTATAACTAATAAGCAAATTTGCAAAATAAAGATTGATATACAAAAGTCAAACTTTTTCCTATATACTAGTAAAGAATTAGATTTGCAATTTAAAAAGCAATATCACTTGCATTATCCCCCTCAAAAATGAAATATTTTCGTATAAACCTAATGAAATATTTAGAGGAAAATACACACACACACACACACACACACACACACACATTTTATACATGAAGAAACTACAAAATGCTTATCCAAGATGTCCTTCAGTAAGCAAATGGATAAATAAACTGAACAATGAAATATTATTCAGCACTAAAATGAAATAAGCTATCAAGTCTGAAAATACTATATATTTGATTATTTCACCTACATAATATTATAGAAAAGGTAAAACTAAAAAGGCAGTAAAATGACCAATGGCTGTCAGTACTTGGCAGGAAGGAGAGGGATGAATAAATGAACACAAGACTTTTAGGGCAGTCAACATACTCTATATAGTATTATAATGGTAGACACCTGCCTCTATTCCTTTGTCTGAACCCATAGAATGTACAATTTCAAGAATAAACCTTAGTGTAAACAATGGACTTTTAGTGATAATGAGATGGCCATGTAGATTTATCAATTTTTAACCAATATACTCTTCTGGTGCATGATGTTGATGGTGGCGGGGGCGGGGGGGACTGTGCATATGTGAGGGCAAAGGGCAAATGTGAAATCTCTGTACCTTCCTCTTGATTTAACTGTGAACTTAAACTGTTCTGAAAAACAAATACTTTTTTT